CTAACAATTTAAAACAAATACTCCACAACATAAAAAATGTACATTGAATATATAGTTAAATAATATTATTTTCATATAATATGACAATTTTTAAGGATATTTTTTTATCAAATTACACTTTAATTTAAAAATCTTAAAATAAATAAAATAATTGTACGATAAAGTTGATTTCTGACGTTTAACAAATTGTGATTTTCRTCTGGGTAAAACTAAAATATTAAATTAATAACTGTAAGAATTTTTCCGATGATTATGGAAAACTATGACACCTACTTGCTGTTGAAATGTTATGGCATTATGTTGTAGGTTTTTTGACAACATTACGGAGTGTTGAAAATGAACATTTAGGTCAGCAAGACCATGAATAACCATATAATTTTTGTGGCGTAAACCGTCTGAATTTTCTATCAAACTAGCATTTCGATAACCTTCAAAATTTGCTTGGTACACATCCATAATCCGTTCGGTAAACATTGAATCTAAAAGTTTATTTGAATAAAATATAACATTGGTTAAAGACACTTGTTGTCTACCTGTGCATGCTTTTTTTAGTTATTTTACTTATCTAATATCATCACATTCTCGTCATACTTCATTAAGTAAATATATTACACTGTATAGATAAATCTTATTTAATATTTACCATCAACGTTTTCGTATMTCGTATGCATATAAATAACTCAAAAAAAGTCAATAAAGAATATTTTGAAAATATGATGGTGTATAGAAAAGGCTTATAAAAACATTCAATGAAAATGTATAAATTTACCACATAAAAAAAACAAAATCGATTTTTTTCAATAATAAGATTTGCGTAAAAAATTCCGTTTCCTCCTGGCGTTTTTAAAAACTACTGGGCTTTTAACCCTCGAAATACCATTTGGATTAATTTTCTTGTCAATAAGATATTACAGTAAAAAATTCAAGTATTTTTACTCTCTCGAAAGATTATGATAATCATCCCCTCCCCCACCAAACACACACACACACACATATCGGGGTTTCATCGATTCCACCAAACCTTTTTATACTTGGGGATAAGGTTTATCGATTCCGCCAGCATCGATTCTGCCAGTGCAGATAGTCTAAAAACAACCTATTGATTTTATTTATTTAACTATATTGTATTATTATATATATATATTAATTCACATTGCATTAGTTTTGCATCATCATATTATAACAAAACCATTGTAAAACCTAAAACTACATTTGACTAAATTAATTTATATTTAAATTAATTATTGAATTATTTTGTAGATAGCTATATTATTATTATTGTAAAATTTTATTTATTTAACTATATTGTATTATTTTATATATATATATTAATTTACATTGCATTAGTTTTTCATCATCATATTATAAAAAATATATTTGACTAAATTAATTTATATTAAAATTAATTATTTAATTATTTTTTTTAAGCAGCTGCTAGGCTGAGGTAAAAATTGGAAGGTGGCGAAATCTATAGGTTGTTTTTAGACTACCTGAACTGGCGGAATCGATGCTACATTGGCGGAATCGATAGGTCCCCCACATATAATTGTAAAATCGATACATTCATCGCTCCGTTCAGAATCTAATACTTTAAAATTAATAGCTATTTAATGAAAATTGACTTGATGTAAACAACTTAAAGAACATTTAGCATGAAAAATTATTTATTTATTTTAAAAAATATCAATACTGTAAAATAATAAATATTAATTTAGATGAAAATATATTCAACAGATGCTGGAGCCCCAGCGCAGCCGTATAATAGCACCTATCAAAATCAAATACATATATTATGTACTTGTATAACTACCTATAATACATGCAATTAACCATTTACTGTTGAGTATATCTAGTCTAATATAGATAGTAAAATAATAAATAAATCAGAAGCTATAACAACAAAACTATAATAAAAGCTAAAACGAAATTAAATTATTATACAAAACCATAATATATCCAGTCCGTAATTGGTGCTACGGATAATGCACATTTAAATATTTTCTCGACATCCTTGGCTAAAGCCATACCGGCCATGTATCCGCCAAAACTCCATCCCCAAATACCAACTTTATTTTTTTCGACAAATGACAGATTGTTTGATAGAAATCTGTTATCAAAAGTATATACAAAAAATCAGAAAAATGTTATTGAAAATATTCCGTGACAAGTTAACGTAAGATTGATTTGGTTATAATATATAGTACTGCTATGTACTGACGTCCGCTAAGACAACTAAATATGCATGCACACGTAGATGTACCTTGGGCATATTATGATTGCCAAACTAAGAGTAGGTACTCATTGTACAAAATTATCGTGTTGACAGGAAAACATTGAGATCATTATTTAGATAACCTAATAGGGGCATTGGTTTATTGAGATTAGGTACGTGTGTCGCAAATAACAGGATGTGAATAACCGGAACGGCCGCGCGAGCGTGGGATGCTGCGGTATCCTAGTGATACGCACGCATGCATTTGCACGATTCAACCATAGACACATACTTATCTTATCGATAGGAGAGGAAACACAGAGAGTAGGACTATATAGGAGAGCACCGAATAGACCAAAAGCAGACGTGACTACGTGAGCCACCAGAGTCAGTACAACCACCTTCATGCCAGTCACCATTACAAATTAATTATTTGGACTTAAAATATTTTCAATTAAATCATTCTTGTATCAGTATAGTGTTTTGTTCGAAAGCAAATAAATACATAATAATTAATCACAAATCAAGTTGTTATACTTATTTCACCCAAATTATCTACCTAAACACAAATCGTTCGTCCTCCTGTATGCTGGGACGCTACAGTATCAATACATTTAATATATTATTATATAATTTATCATGGAGTATTTCGTTAAGATCTTAGTGGTTTTTTTTTTTTTAGTATCATCTTTACCTACGTTTTCTCTGATGTATATGTTACCGGAAATGTTGACAATTTAGGAAATGATGACAATTCCTAATAG